GCCTGAGGATGGAGGGACCTGCATCCATCAAGCGGGAACTTCCCACCCTTGTCCTTGCATTTTTAAAACATAAATTTAAATTCAGATTTTAGGGAATTTTTATTGAGGTTTTTCCCCCGAAACGGTGAAAAAAGGAGGCAGGTTGATCCCATCCCTGGATTTACTCACACCTAGAAGAAATTGGGCAAAATCCTGCAGAAAAACTTGGATTAGTGATTTTATTTCCCTCTGGCACTGAAATCTCTCCTTGCTGGTTAAACCCGAGCCTCCAGCTCGCTCTTGAGCCCGAGAATTCACGGTGATTACACCGGGATAATCACCGATTTCACGGATAATCAAGGAGGGAAATCGCTTGGAAAGGGGATCCTGATCCATCCCCAACTCTTTGCAGTATTCACCCCCCGATAAATCAACCTTGGACCCAGATTAACAAAAAAATAAAATAAAATAAAATAAAATAAAATAAAATAAAATAAAATAAAATAAAATAAAATAAAATAAAATAAAATAAAATAAAATAAAATGGTGTTTTCAGCACCAAGCCGCCCCCCAGGTTTCAGTCTGAATGTTCCGAGCACCGGAAAACCCAGAACCCCCAAAAAACTCTCTCACAGAATTAACGGCGGGTGAGTTTTTGACCGATTTCCTCAATAAAAAAAAAGGAAAAAAAAAAATCATCGCTTCGGTACCACCCCTGAGTTCCGGTGGCTTCTGCACTTGTCAGGGGGGGCTACTGGAAAAAAAATGAAAGTTAAAAATAAAATTTAAAATAGGAAGGTCTGTGGTCAGCCCCGAGCCGTGAGAGAAGCGATTTCCTGTGAAAAAGGAGAAGTGAAAGGAGCAATAAAATTATTTTTTAATAAAGGTGCTGTAGCTGCACACGTAGGGGTGGGGGGGGGTGGAGTGCTGAAAAATGGGGAATTTGGGAATTCTGAACAATCGGGAATGAGCAGCAAAGGATGAGCCAAGGATTGCTCCAAGCTCTGTCCCCACGGCCTCAGTCATGAACTGCCCTTCAATTAATCAACTAGAAGAGAATCAATAAATTAAACACGAATGTAAATTAAATTTATCGATGAGTAAATTAAAAATAAATACATTGAAAGCAGCGAAACCAGGCTGGTTCCTGGTTCAGACCTCGAGGGGAGGCCTGGGGCGGCCTCGCGCTTTCCCTGGGTGTTTTTTGGGGGAGAAAGGAGTGAAGAAGGGGCTGAGGGTGGATTCCAACCAAGCCGGTAATTGATGAATGAACCTGGTGCCAAGCCCGGTATTAGACCTGGTACCAAACGAGCCGGTGCTAAGCCCGGTGTCAATTCCGGCGCCAAGCCTGGTATTAGCCCCAAACAAGCCGGCGTCAAACCCGGTATTAACCCCGGTGCTAAGCCCGGTATTAGCCGCAGCGCCAAACAAACCGGTGCTAAGCCCGGTATTAGCCCCAGCGCCAAACAAACCGGTGCTAAGTGCGGTATTAGCNTTTTCCCCTAATTTCCCCTCATTTTCCTGATTTCCCCTCATTTCCCCTCATTTTCCCTATTTCCCCTCATTTCCCCTCATTTTCCCCCACCCCAGGACTCACTTTTCTCCGGCAGCTCGAAGGCCAGGATGTCTGAAAAAAGGGGAGAAAGGGAAACATGAACTGATTAAAAAATCCAAGATTTTTGCAACAAATTGCAATAAAAAACTAATTGCAGCTTAAAATAATCACAATAAGTTACTGCACGTGCCCCAGGCACACAAATATAATTTATGGATGCACGTATGCATATTAATTATATAATAAACTTTAAACTAATTTTAATTATTAAACTTATAATGCAATATTTGTATATAATAAAATCAATTAAATTAATCTCTTCATCCCCCAGCCTGCTCCAATACCTCGGAATCTCCTCAGCGTCTCCTCCAGCGGAACGTTTTCCTCCCTGAAATGTTGAATTTTATTTTCCAAATCTGGAAGAGGCGACGGGGGCAGCTGGAAATTTTCATTTCTGAGGCTGGAAAAGGACGAAAAGAAAAGGTTGAGGATCCACCCCGGAGGGAATTCCCTGTGCACACTCACAGATTTGGGCAAAAAGCTGAATATTTTGGTCTCCAAATGAGGCCAAACCAGGGATTTGGGCACAAACCCGAATATTTTGGTGTTCAGGAAGCCCCGCCCTTACCTGCTCAAGGTGCTGCTGATGTCCTGGAGGGGAGAGAAGGGACACGGGGCACGGTGAATCACTCGGAATCATGTGAAAAAGTAGATTTTTGGGGTTTTTAGAATGGGGGCTCAGGGGGACAAGATGGAGGGATCTGGGCAGGTCCAGCCTTCCTCCTCCTTCTTCTGCTTGGCCTCCGTCTCCTGCTGTGATGTTGGCACTTTTAGATTGGTTTAGAGTAGAAACTCACTGTCTATTTAATTTTTATTTAATTTTAATACTGTAGTTTTTTTTATTTTTAATTTTAATATTGTAGGTAATTTAAATATTGTAGTTTTAAATAGTGCATATGTAAATATTGTAGTTTTTTGTATAAAAAGATAACACCACCCCGCGGATGGGCAGAGTGCCTGGACTGTCATGATGAGATGACCTCGGCTGGACAGGAGGAAAAATTTTATAGAAATTAAACAATAAATAATATTAATAAACAATTCTCAATGAACAACCTTGATGATGAGAAATTAAGAGCTCTGACTCCTTGGCTGGCAAAAGAGACTTTCCAACTTTTCTCAGGACAAGAAATTTTCTCTGGGAAAAGAGACTTTCCAACTTTTCTAAGAGACTTTCCGACTTTTCTCGGGACAAGAAACTTTCTCCGGACAAAGAGACTTCCCAGCTTTTCCAAGAGACTTTCCCGCTTTTCTGGGGTCCCCGCGCCAGCCGTCACCTGCAGGAAGGCGCCCGCCGGCTGCCGCCGCCGCCGCTGCAGCTCCAGGGCGCGGCTCTCGAGCCGGGAGATCTCCTGGGTCAGCGCCGTCACCTTCTCCTCCTGCGCCCGCCCGATGTCGCTCTCCAGGCGCCGCAGCCGCGCCAGGAGGCGCCGCGAAAGCTCCTCCAGGCACAGGCGCAGCCCCTGGAAATGGGACAGGAGGCGCTGCCGCTCCGCCTCGGTCCGCTCCTGCCGGGCGCCACGGGGAGCGGAGGTTTGGATTTATTTCGATTTTTTGGAATCAAAACCCCTCCCTGCACTGAGACCCCCGCCCCAGGAACGGCCGCCCCCCTCTGAACCCATCGCGAGACACTCCCGCCCGAGACATAAATCTTAACGAATTTAGGGATTTTATAGGAGCTGAAATTTTAGTTAGAGATATAAGCTTTATTTGAGTTAATAAAAATAAATGAAGTTAAGAGTTAGTAGTTAACTATATAATATAATAATTATTATATTATATAATATAATAATGGATTGCTTGTCAACACAATGTTTGGTTAGCTGGGTTTGTAATGAAGAATATAGAAACTGATAAATAGCTTTGAGGAACATGAGACAATTGTTTTTAGGAACATAAGTCAGGAGTCCATCAGGAGACACCCTCGCCTAAAATGTAAATTTTAAAGGATTTAGGGATTTTATAGGAGCTGAGATTTTAGTTAGAGTTATAACTTTTATTGGAGTTAATCAAAATAAATGATGGAGTTAAGAGTTAGTAGTTAACTAATAACTGATTGCCTGTCAACATAATGTTTGGTTAGCTGGGTTTATAATGAAGAATATAGAAACTGATAAATGGTTTTTAGGAACATAACACAATTGTTTGTAGGAACATTATTCAATTGCGTCCTCCTCTGTTCTGAAACCAATTGAAGACGGCAAATGGGAGTTCTGCCAATGGGTTCATTTGTCATATTTGCATTGAAAATGTAGAAAGGTCAGAACGAGGAAGACTTTATTTATTTCCTCTTTTTTAAACCCCTCCCCATGAAAAGGACCGCCGACTCATTTTGAGGAACAAACTACGCATGCTTAATTAGCTTTTGAACTAATTACCATGCTTAATAGCTTTTGAACTAATTACCATACGAAGTGGGGACTGGGATGTACCAAAGTTATGAATACACATTTGTATTTTGGGTATTCAATACTTGTGCAGATAAAAGGGCTCTGGAATCACCTGTAAATCGCGGTGTGAATTTGAGAATTATCCTGAAATAAACATTCACTTTAAACCGTCAGAGAGTCTTTGTCCGTCACACTTGGATATCGGTACCAGATCAATACCCATATTTTTAATAAATCACGCCCCTCCGCTCCACAGCATTTACCAAACACTCCCAGTTTCTCCTCATTTCAGCCTCCCGGAGCTCCAGGAGTTTGTCCCTGTCGTCCTTCAGGGTCTGCAGCCCGGCCTGGATTTGTTCCTGAGGGAGGGAAAAATATAAAAATCCCGTTTTTTGGGAAGGAGGTTGGACTGCTGGTAACTCCGTTTCTCCTCCCATTTCCAGGAAAAAAAAAATCCCACTCTTTTTGCCCATATTCCTGCAGATTTAGGGATGGTCTGCAGGAAAATTGTCCCCCTCTTTTTTGCCCACATTCCGGCAGATTTAGGGGGAGGCTCCGGGAAAAAAAATCCAGCTCTTTTTGCCCCCATTCTTGCAGATTTAGGGATGGGCTCCATGAAAAAAATCCCGCTCTTTTTGCCCATATTCCGGCAGATTTAGGGATGGGCTCCATGAAAAAAAATCCCGCTCGTTTTGCCCACATTCCTGCAGATTTGGAGATGGGCTCCAGGAAAACCGTCCCGCTCTTTTTGCCCACATTTCGGCAGATTTAGGGATTAGGTGCCCGCTGGGCGCTGGAGCTGGACAGCGGCCGGAATTCCGCGGCACGGAGGATGAGGAGGAGGATGATGAATTGGATGAAGCCCCCGATCCCTCCAAGCTCGGGGGAGAACAGAGAGAGCAGAAGCCGCGGAGCGTATCCCGATCCCCTAAAGGGTCTGGGGGCCCGGGGGGACATTTTTGGGTGGAAACCGCGATTACCTCGAACTCCCGCACCGCCTCCGGCAGCGGCAGCACCGTGTGCGCTCGGT